AAAAGTCATATCAAAATGTTTCTTGTTTTCATATCTATCAGACAACAGATGATGGTCCCGGTCAATGGGGGATGGGTACCTTTAAAAAGGCCCACATATCCGATATGTGAATGTGTATGGAATAATTATATTTTAAAGACAGACCGGTATCTTTATTGATAAGATTTGTGACTTATCCCCTTTTGACCGGGATAAAAGTCATATAAAAATGTTCGTTGTATTCATATCTATCAGACAACAGATGATGGTCCCGGTCAATAGGGGATGGGTACCTAAAAAAGGCCCATATATCCGATATGTGCATGTGTATGGAATAATTATTTCTTAAAGACAGACCGGTATCTTTATTGATGATATGTGACTTATCCCATTTTGACCGGGATAAAAGTCATATAAAAATGTTTGTTGTATTCATATCTATCAGACAACAGAAGATGTTCCTGGTCAATAGGGGATGGGTACCTAAAAAAAGGCCCCGTTATCCCATAAATGCATGCGTATGGAATAATTATTTCTTAAAGAGAGACATGTACTTTTGATGCTAAGATATGTGACTTATCCCCTTTTGACCGGGATAAAAGTCATATAAATATGTTTGCTGTATTCATATCTATCAGACAACAGATGATGGTCCCGGTCAATAGGGGATGGGTACCTAAAAAAAATGCCCATATATCCGATATGTGCATGTGTATGGAATAATTATTTCTTAAAGACAGACCGGTATCTTTATTGATGATATGTGACTTATCCCCTTTTGACCGGGATAAAAGTCATATCAAAATGATTGTTGTATTCATATCTATCAGACAACAGATGATGGTCCTGGTCAATAGGGGATGGGTACCTAAAAAAAATGCCCATATATCCGATATGTGCATGTGTATGGAATAATTATTTCTTAAAGACAGACCGGTATCTTTATTGATGATATGTGACTTATCCCCTTTTGACCGGGATAAAAGTCATATAAAAATGTATGTTTTATTCATATCTATCAGACAACAAATGATGGTCCCGGTCAATAGGGGATGGGTACCTAAAAAAGGCCCATTCATCCGATATGTGCATGTGTATGGAATAATTATTTCTTAAAAACAGACCGGTATCTTTATTGATGATATGTGACTTATCCCCTTTTGACCGGGATAAAAGTCATATCAAAATGTTTGTTGTTTTCATTTTTATCAGACAACAGATGATGGTCCCGGTCAATAGGGGATGGGTACCTACAAAATGTCCCCGCTATCCGATATATGCATGTGTATGGAATAATTATATTTTAAAGAGAGACATGTATCTTTTTTGATAAGATGTGACTTATCCCCTTTTGACCGGGATAAAAGTCATATCAAAATGTTTGTTGTATTCATATCTATCAGACAACAGATGATGGTCCTGGTCAATAGGGGATGGGTACCTAAAAAAAGGCCCCGTTATCCGATATATGCATGTGTATGGAATAATTATTTCTTAAAGAGAGACATGTATTTTTGATGCTAAGATATGTGACTTATCCCCTTTTGACCGGGATAAAAGTCATATAAATATGTTTCTTGTTTTCATATCTATCAGACAACAGATGATGGTCCCGGTCAATGGGGGATGGGTACCTAAAAAAGGCCCACATATCCGATATGTGAATGTGTATGGAATAATTATATTTTAAAGACAGACCGGTATCTTTATTGATAAGATTTGTGACTTATCCCCTTTTGACCGGGATAAAAGTCATATAAAAATGTTCGTTGTATTCATATCTATCAGACAACAGATGATGGTCCCGGTCAATAGGGGCTGGGTACCTAAAAAAGGCCCATTTATCCGATATGTGCATGTGTATGGAATAATTATTTCTGAAAGACAGACCGGTATCTTTATTGATGATATGTGACTTATCCCCTTTTGACCAGGATAAATGTCATATCAAAATGTTTGTTGTATTCATATCTATCAGACAACAGAAGATGTTCATGGTCAATAGGGGATGGGTACCTAAAAAAAGGCCCCGTTATCCCATATATGCATGCGTATGGAATAATTATATTTGAAAGAGAGACATGTATTTTTTTTGCTAAGATATGTGACTTATCCCCTTTTGACCGGGATAAAAGTCATATCAAAATGATTGTTGTATTCATATCTATCAGACAACAGATGATGGTCCTGGTCAATAGGGGATGGGTACCTAAAAAAAATGCCCATATATCCGATATGTGCATGTGTATGGAATAATTATTTCTTAAAGACAGACCGGTATCTTTATTGATGATATGTGACTTATCCCCTTTTGACCGGGATAAAAGTCATATAAAAATGTATGTTTTATTCGTATCTATCAGACAACAAATGATGGTCCCGGTCAATAGGGGATGGGTATCTAAAAAAGGCCCATTCATCCGATATGTGCATGTGTATGGAATAATTATTTCTTAAAAACAGACCGGTATCTTTATTGATGATATGTGACTTATCCCCTTTTGACCGGGATAAAAGTCATATCAAAATGTTTGTTGTTTTCATTTTTATCAGACAACAGATGATGGTCCCGGTCAATAGGGGATGGGTACCTACAAAATGTCCCCGCTATCCGATATATGCATGTGTATGGAATAATTATATTTTAAAGAGAGACATGTATCTTTTTTGATAAGATGTGACTTATCCCCTTTTGACCGGGATAAAAGTCATATCAAAATGTTTGTTGTATTCATATCTATCAGACAACAGATGATGGTCCTGGTCAATAGGGGATGGGTACCTAAAAAAAGGCCCCGTTATCCGATATATGCATGTGTATGGAATAATTATTTCTTAAAGAGAGACATGTATTTTTGATGCTAAGATATGTGACTTATCCCCTTTTGACCGGGATAAAAGTCATATAAATATGTTTCTTGTTTTCATATCTATCAGACAACAGATGATGGTCCCGGTCAATGGGGGATGGGTACCTAAAAAAGGCCCACATATCCGATATGTGAATGTGTATGGAATAATTATATTTTAAAGACAGACCGGTATCTTTATTGATAAGATTTGTGACTTATCCCCTTTTGACCGGGATAAAAGTCATATAAAAATGTTCGTTGTATTCATATCTATCAGACAACAGATGATGGTCCCGGTCAATAGGGGCTGGGTACCTAAAAAAGGCCCATTTATCCGATATGTGCATGTGTATGGAATAATTATTTCTGAAAGACAGACCGGTATCTTTATTGATGATATGTGACTTATCCCCTTTTGACCAGGATAAATGTCATATCAAAATGTTTGTTGTATTCATATCTATCAGACAACAGAAGATGTTCATGGTCAATAGGGGATGGGTACCTAAAAAAAGGCCCCGTTATCCCATATATGCATGCGTATGGAATAATTATATTTGAAAGAGAGACATGTATTTTTTTTGCTAAGATATGTGACTTATCCCCTTTTGACCGGGATAAAAGTCATATCAAAATGATTGTTGTATTCATATCTATCAGACAACAGATGATGGTCCTGGTCAATAGGGGATGGGTACCTAAAAAAAATGCCCATATATCCGATATGTGCATGTGTATGGAATAATTATTTCTTAAAGACAGACCGGTATCTTTATTGATGATATGTGACTTATCCCCTTTTGACCGGGATAAAAGTCATATAAAAATGTATGTTTTATTCGTATCTATCAGACAACAAATGATGGTCCCGGTCAATAGGGGATGGGTATCTAAAAAAGGCCCATTCATCCGATATGTGCATGTGTATGGAATAATTATTTCTTAAAAACAGACCGGTATCTTTATTGATGATATGTGACTTATCCCCTTTTGACCGGGATAAAAGTCATATCAAAATGTTTGTTGTATTCATATCTATCAGACAACAGAAGATGTTCCTGGTCAATAGGGGATGGGTACCTAAAAAAAGGCCCCGTTATCCCATATATGCATGCGTATGGAATAATTATATTTGAAAGAGAGACATGTATTTTTTTTTGCTAAGATATGTGACTTATCCCCTTTTGACCGGGATAAAAGTCATATCAAAATGTTTCTTGTTTTCATATCTATCAGACAACAGATGATGGTCCCGGTCAATAGGGGATGGGTACCTAAAAAAGGCCCACATATCCGATATGTGAATGTGTATGGAATAATTATATTTTAAAGACAGACCGGTATCTTTATTGATAAGATTTGTGAATTATCCCCTTTTGACAACGGCGTGAAGTTAGAAAGATATTCGATATTCGATATTCGATATTCAAAGTGCGAATATAAAGCCAGTTTGATATTCGGATTTTCGGATATTCAAAATAACACAATTCAATGCACATAAACATATCTGATATTAGCCTGTTTTAGGTACCCAACACACCGGAGTGAAGTTAGAAAGATATTCGATATTCGATATTCGATATTCAAAATGCGAATATAAAGCCAGTTTGATATTCGGATTTTCGGATATTCAAAATATCTCAATTCAATACACATAAACATATCTGATATAAGCTTGTTTTAGGTACCCAACCCCTATTGACCGGGACCATCATCTGTTGTCTGATAGATATGAATACAACATACATTTTTATATGAGTTTTATCCCGGTCAAAAGGGGATAAGTCACATATCTTAGCAAAAAAAATACATGTCTCTCTTTAAAATATAATTATTCCATACGCATGCATATATGGGATAACGGGGCCTTTTTTTAGGTACCCATCCCCTATTGACCAGGAACATCTTCTGTTGTCTGATAGATATGAATACAACAAACATTTTGATATGACTTTTATCCCGGTCAAAAGGGGATAAGTCGCATATCATCAATAAAGATACCGGTCTGTCTTTAAGAAATAATTATTCCATACACATGCACATATCGGATATATGGGCCTTTTTTAGGTACCCATCCCCTATTGACCGGGACCATCATCTGTTGTCTGATAGATATGAATACCACGAACATTTTTATATGACTTTTATCCCGGTCAAAAGACCGGAGCATAAATTTAGTAATTGACCCGTCTACAGTGCTCAGTGACGGTAAATCTGCAATAAATGCGAACTTTTTACCCTTTATGTAAGTAAAAAGTTAGTGTTACAGCATAGAGTTGAATCTAATATCTTATTCTCTGTAGGATGAACTAAGAAGTTAGTTAGATCTCGATCTATATATTTTAGTATGAAAGTATATTCTACTAACTAGACTCTACACATGCTCGCGGGAATAGCAGAGGTGTACACCTCGTGGTACGGGCAGACCAAGGCAGGGACGATGAATGCATGTGTGCTTGTTGTTTAGTATAGTATTAATGACTGCTTTGAGAGAAATAGTTGTTTTTATACGCTCAAGGGAAGGTTAGAATTGTGCTATTGCCCCGAGGCGTGCCGATGGCAATAAATTACATTCAGATGAGCATATTTTGATACCTATTTGTGACACTGGCAGGACACAAATTGGTGTGACGTCCAGGGGCGGAGCTCCTGGAAGCTCAGGGGTTTTGGGCTTTAATTACGGTCAGATGAGCATACTTTGATTCCTTATTTGTGACACTGGCAGGAAACAAATTGGTGTGGGGTCCAGGGGGCGGAGCCCCCAGAGACTCGGGGGTTGTTACTGTCAGATGAGCATATTTTAATACCATACAGTGACACTGGCAAGTCACGAATTGGCTTGGGGGAGGCTCAGGGGTCAGATGAGCATCCAGGGGCCCGCCATAGGGCCCCTGGTGGGGTTGAGGGGGCCAGGGCCTCAGAAGCTCAGGGGTTTTAGGCATTTAATTAGGGTCAGATGAACATATTTTGATACCTTATTTGTGACACTGGTAGGACACTGATTGGCGTGAGGTCCAGGGGTGGAGAGGGACCCCAGAAGCGCAGGGGTTTTAAGCATTAAATAACTGTCAGATTAGCATCAAGGGGTCTGCCTTCAGAGGTCAGAGTCACCGGAAGTCATGGGGTTGGAGGCATTTAATTACGATCAGATGAGCATATTTTGATAACGGTACCTTGTGACACTGGCAAAACACTAATTGGTGTGGGGTCCAGGGGGCAGAGCCCCTAGGAGCTCAGGGGTTTTAGGCATTTATTGCGTCAGATGAGCATATTTTGACACCTTATTATTTTGTGACCAAGGCAGGTCACTATTCTTTCTTTATGAATTTGCCATTTTCCAACATACGATAAAAAAGTACAATTGACTAAACATTTAGGAAAAATCTGGGAAAATTATGTCATTTCAGCAACATTTGTCAATCACCGGTATAGAATGAGAAATAAACCATGTTTAGGCCCTCTCAGCCCCCCCCCTGGATCCGCACCTGGCTTGCCTGCAATATATCTCTGCTTTTAATATAGAAAGACTACCTGTCTGAAGAGACCACATTTTGTTGGTTCCCTTTGACATGATGTTTTGACTTCAAACATGTGTTAAAGTATATTGTAAGTGTACATATGTAAAGGTCACCTGCCTACAAAGACCACTTTTGTGTTCCCCTAATGCAGTCAGACTGCATTAGGGGACCTGCCAACCAGTACGATTTAGTCGTATTTAGTACGATTTTTAGAAGCAAATACGACAGTACGATTTTCCTTAATAAAATACGATTATCAAAAAATAAAAAATAAAAATAAAAAAACGATTTATTATTATTATTTTTTTTTTTTTTTTTTTTTTTTTTAAATTAATATTTTGTGTGTGCGTCTGCCATTTTCAATGGCAAAATGTCCATTCTGTCCTGTAAAGTATCCTACAGGTTCCTGTTTTTGTTACTCTCAGCATTCAAGGAATTCTTTCCTGGTAGAGAGTGGAACATGTTGTTTAATGTATTTCTAAAGACAATATAGTGCTGTGCTAGGGCTTGAACTGATGAGCTACACATCTTCAATTGAGTGTTTGAATACCATTTGACAACAGCACCTTTACAAACCAGTGGATTATGACGTTTCTACTATGACTATGAATGAAGTTAAGTGATTGAATAACCTTGTACTACATGTAGAATAAAATACAACATAGATTACATTCAGCTTCAATGCAATCTGCAAAAAAAAAAAAAAATCTGATGTACGATGTAAGGCTGTGCATAAACGTATAATGAGGTACTTGAATACACTCCCAGGCTTACAGGCGAATACTCGAATAATCGAACACCATGTTTTTTTGCCACCACCATACTACGGGAGAAGTATTCCAAGTCCATCGCCGAAAACTCAAGCGATATTACTTTGAGTTGCAGTTGAAGGCGCCGATCTAATAATAATAATAATAACAGTAAACAATGCTGTTTTATAGACTAAAGATGACAGAATAATCCATTTTCCTCCGAGTCCAAACAGAAATCCGGACATTTGGTCCCAGTTTCTGAGTGGTGAGTTGACAGTGATTAAACTGAGAAACATTTTTACCAGCGATACCATTCCGGCGCTGCCTCCTGGGCACGGGTGAGCGTCGGTCTGGACAGTGCCAGGCGCTGGCAAAAAAAAAAAAAATGGCGGCCGAGTCCTCAAGTAACTCGAGTATTCGACTACTCGTCGCAGCCTTAGTACGATGCATGGATAATTGAAGTTTGATAATTGCTTTCTAAAAGCAGCATTTCATATCATACATTGCATGTAAAAAATATCAATGTTTCTGTTTTTACCTCCAAAATATGATTTGACTGAGAATTTTATCTTCAAAATGCCTCGCATATACTGTATGTATTGTTTTCTGTGAATCTGCATGGTTATTATGGTCAATCTACTATTTTAATAAATTTCTTTTACACGTTTGTTTTCCTCCAAATTTAGAATTTTCCTGTGTGAGACGATCAATGGCTGACAAAAGAGGCCTACAGCACCCCCAAGGGCTGGCCTGCCCTCTTTGTCTTGATACCTTCAAGAACCCCACCCTGCTGCTATGTGGACATACGTTCTGTAAGGTCTGTCTGGAGGGTTACGATGAGCTACGGAATGGCGTTGATCACATGGAGTGCCCTGTGTGCAGAAAACGCACAAAGCTAGAGGAAAACAGGGTTGCCGGACTATCGCCAAACTTTTCACTGAAGGGGCTTCAGGATGAACTCCACATCGATGAACAGACGTCACAAAATCTGTGTCCACTACACAAGGCTGAATACAGGAACATATTTTGTGAAGTTTGTGAGAATTTCATTTGCATTACTTGCTTCATCAAAAACCATCAAGGGCACAGGATCATCAGGAAAACGGACTTGAAAGAGGGGTTAAGAAAGAAGAAAATGGCTCTCATTCAGGATGGTAAGGCAAGGAAAAGCCAAATTGAAAAGATTTTAAAAGATGCAGAACAACAAAGGAAAGAGATTTGTTGCCACCTTAGTAAAATGGAGAAGGAAATTAGGGATGCTTATGCTAAAAAAGTTACAACTCTCCAAGAAAATGAGAGGAAACTAATAGAAAAGGTTCACAGTATTCAAAGCGGCTCTGACAAGCAATTGAATTACTGTATTGCTCAGCATATTGAGTTGACGGATAACATAAGCATCTCAGTCGCAATATTAGAATCCAACGAATCAGAGCATTTACAAGATCATGTTCTGATAGAAGATCATTTGCATTGCATTTCTCTTGAAAACTCACTGAAGAAAGTCAACAAACCCAATGATGAGCAGTCAATGGCACAGGTATTACAAGCAGCAAAGAACTCCAAGTTTCATTGCGCCAAAAGGAAACTTCTCGATGTAGGTCACATTGAGCCTGGAGGAAATGCAACAACAAGTAACAGTCAACAAGCAAAGGCACCAACAAGTAATAGTCAACAAGCGAAGGCAACAACAAGTAACAGTCAACAAGCGAAGGCAACAACAAGTAACGATCAACAAGCAAAGGCAACAACTAGTAGCAGTCAACAAGCGAAGGCAACAACAAGTAACAATCAACAAGCGAAGGCAACAACAAGTAGCAGTCAACAGGCAAAGGCAACAACTAGTAGCAGTCAACAAGCGAAGGCAACAACAAGTAGCAGTCAACAGGCAAAGGCAACAACTAGTAGCAGTCAACAAGCGAAGGCAACAACAAGTAACAGTCAACAAGCAAAGGCAACAAAAAGCAGTCAACAAGCGAAGACAACTGCTCCTGTGGCTGTGCATACCCTAGGTCACAACGGTCAGGGAGGAAAGGCATCAACAAGTAGCAGTCAACAAGCGAAGACAACTGCTCCTGTGGCTGTGCATACCCTAGGTCACAACGGTCAGAGAGGAAAGGCATCAACAAGTAACAGTCAACATGTGATGACGACTGCTCGGGTGAATATGAACACTGATGAGATGCAACCAAGTACTAGTGGTAATGTAGGAGCTATTCCAGCAATGGTTAAGACTAATTCACTTACTATTGTGAAGGAAGCTGAATTGCCTGGTATATTTGGGATGGCAGCCATATCTCAGGATTCTGTGGTGATAGGGTATGGTCAAAATGGTGCTGAGTGTTCCTCTTTGTCAGGTGAGAGTGCATCACATCTGGATGGAGGGGTAGTATATGACATTGCATGCCTTACTCATGGTAGATCAGCAGTATCAGATTCTGATGGGATTTGCAGTATCTACGATGCACAAGGTATACAAGGTATTCAATATCAGTACAACCAAGGCTTTGGCTACCGCTACCATTTTAAGTTATGTAGTGACCAACATGATAATATCTATGCTGTCAACGGCAATCCAGAGATCTACATCTTCAGTGGTAGCAACCCTAACCCACAGACCATCATCCCAACTGGCAAAGTCCAGTCTAAACAGATCTGTGTAACCAAGACGGGTGTTATTATCATCTGCGGTATTGTTAAAAGCAAGGCGATACATACGCTTAGGTCAGTTACTGTGTATGATAGAGAAGGGCATATGGGTAGCTCTATCAAATCCAACAACATGTTGATAGAATACCTGTATGCTGCAGTAGATAGTCGAGACAGAGTGTTAGTAGCTAGGATAAAGGATAGGAGTGATGTGCTGAGATTGACCAGATATACTCTCCAAGGAGTGACACTCACCAAGGAGGTGATGTTCAAACAACTCAGACTCCCACATAGCTTTGTTTCTTGTTTGTGTTATATGGTTAGTCTCTCTCCTAGCATGATTGCCTTTTCTACCGGCAAGCATCTGTATTTCATAGAACTTGGTCTGTAGCTCTTATTCGTATTACCACCATCCTTTTTGTTTACCTACAGTTATGTGTAGTTCTTACTCTTTCAAATTATTGCAATTTCATCTCTTCTATTGTGATTTCATGCTTACACAGCAGTGAGAGTGGGGAAAGTCAGTGGTATTTGGCAGTCAGGTTTAATCAACATGTATGTACATTCAACTCACATCAAAAGTATTTTCCTTGATACACTCTTAGAAGGCTATCAACCAAGTTCTTTGATCATTTGATGAGCTTGTTAGAACAGTTATCATTATGAGTATTTACTTGCATACAAGTAAATAATAGTTTAAAGGTAAAGACCAGTTATGGTCATACGATTGCATTGTGAAAGAAACGTTGTGGAATCGATCAGAAAAGGTTGATCATCTAGCATCTAGCATCTGCAAGGTTCTGGAATCATCAAAATGATAAGAAATTTGGCCCATTCTTCGTAAAGTTACAAGCACTATACACAGAAAGATGTATATGGGACTACCCTATATCTCTCACAGACCATGAGAGAAACAAATTTACCAAATATATGAATTAGTAGGCGGTTTCCCGGCAAATTTTTTATCATCATGTATTAGTCGAAACATATTCTTTCACACGATTGGTAATGAGAACTTCCATTTCATTTTTTGAAATTGGGGCATTTCCAATACTGGTCTTTACCTTTAAAAAAAAACCTTTGACGTAAACAAATCAACTAGTATGCATCACCACAGTGAGCAGTTTTTTTAGAGGGTTCATAAGGCTAATCATTGTTGGGAATATCGATATTGAAAATTGTACGTAGTATAGAATTAATTTTTTTGTTTTGAATATACAGTGTACATACATGTATAGGCAGAAGCAAATGCTGTCTTATATCGTGATCAACTTTTCCCCCTGCCAAATAGGAAGTGTCTTTAAATAGTGATTATTGAATTATACATTACTGTAAATCTCTGTGTATAAGACGCACCGGTTTATAAGACGCACCACTATTTTGGGGAGCAAAAAATAAAAAATGAAAAAGAATTTTTTTTTTTTTTCGACACTGCAGGCAGCAAGACAGATCTGTGTTCAAAAACGCACGTGGGGAAGGACCCTTTTTTTTTTACTGCGAGGTGCAGTCGAAGGCGCCGATTTTTTTCTTGAGGACTTGTCACAAATAATAGTAACTATGTCATTTTTAAAACTAAAGATGACAGACAAATTAATTTTCCTCTAAGTCTAATTAGAAATCTGGCCATACAGGTAGTGTTGTTGTAGTTGATCCTACAGTTCGATGCTGTGCCATCACTATAACCCAGGTGACATATAGTGAGAGTAAATTACTGTTGCAACTTTGTTACCTGGATTACAGATTATATAATCTAGTAAGTTTTACTGTGCCACTTCAAATAACTTCATACAGTATCTTACTTGACTGTATTGGTGCGAGTGGTGAGTCAACACATCTTGTATGACTGAGCTGGGAGACATTGCCATGCACAGTGCAGGTGGAGGGGGCATAAATCGACACTTAATTTTGTTGTGTTGTTGTTGTTGCTGTACCTGAGTATGAGACGCCCCCTCCCAACTTTCAACTTTTTTTTCGGAGGGAAAAAAAGTCTTATACATGGAGATTTACGGGGTTTGTCATTGTAGAATGTAGAAGTAGCAATTGCTTAACAAATTATAAGCAGCTCATTTAATTTGTTGTCTTCCACAGTGTTTTTTTTTAAAACAAAAAATACAGCTTTTAAAAGAATATACATAGGTATATGTGTAATAAATCAAAGTGATCATTCTTTTTTAGAAAAATAATTATGTTGAAGCTATTTTGTAAATTGATTCAGCCTTTTTACCAAGATGCTTAAGAATATGGTAGTTAATTTTTCAATATGTCAGGTTTTTCTTAAACATGTTACAGTTCATAAATACATAATGCCAAAGGTTTGTTAATAGGAGTTCATTAGGCAGTATTATGCTATCATGTCTTGTCTTGTCTTATGGAAACCAGTAATTATTCTTCAGAGAGAAGTTGAGTCACAAGCAAAATTGATAATTGTATCCCGTGATTCCAAGTTCTTGTTTGTGTGTTTAGAAACTGAAGAATGGATTTAAGGAGTTCACTACCTTTTTATATTTTATACATGTTTTTTTATGAATTTTCATGATCATGTCATATATGTCTTATGATTTAAGTGCCAAATCCAAGTTAAGTAATCTATGTCTAGTCAATAAGCCTAGTTAATGCAATACAATAACAATATTAATGTGTGCTCTAAATGGAATGAAATTGTTTACATTGTTTTCCTTTTTTATAAATGTATAATGTATGTTTTATTGTAACGCACCTTTTATTTTTCATTTTTAAACATATAACTTTTTACACGAGCTTCTCTGATAGATTTGGTGTTATATTTTACAGGACAAAGTATTTAATTGAAACAATTCTGTTTACCTACCTAGTACTAGTAGATAGTAACATTCTATCAAATCAACTATCATCTCTATATTATGATCTTTTGTAATAAATAGGATGTCAGCCCTACAGTTTGATCATGGTTATAGTTTATAGTTGAGGTGGTATAGCACTATGACAATGTTTCTTCTTTGTTACCTGTGTCTAATCATTTTGATACGTGTTTTAAGGATGATCCTTAAAATTCCATTCAATGTTGGGATCTGCCATTGAAGCAGTACATTAAATACTGGAACACTATTGCCAAATGCTGTTACTGTTAAACATATAATAAAACATGTTGATAAAATTCATATAATGTACATAGTTGTGAATATTATTCTGTGATATTTTTTGTAATGATGTTGATTAACAAAAAAGTGATTAGAGGCTGATAATTAGAGTAAGTAATGACAGGAATAGCATATTTGATAGCCTGCTTATTGTTTAGCTGAAAGTAAATTACATTGACATGAATTACAGAAGCGGAAGCAAATTTGCAAGAGTGTATTTACTTGAATAATTTTTTTTTTATTTTTTAAATGCAGTCATTTAGAATCATAAGAAGCCCCACTATGGTATCATCTATAAATGAATTCTGATACCTTTCTTTAAATTGGGGTATGATCACATATTCACATTTCAATCAGACTTTTGAGTTGCCTGATTCTGAGGCAGAAAAGGTACCTTTGGGGTGATATTGCTGCGGAGGGCCCGGGGGAGGAGGCAGAGAGGGGACATTTTGTTTTTTGTTTTTTGTTTTATATCAAAGGCTAACCGAACTTGGGTTTGCTCAGACTATATGCCTCCTACCCCCTCCCCCACCCCCCCCCCCCCCTTGATCCAATTACGAGGCAATACATGGTTATCAATTGTTAGTCTTGTGTCTTGGGGAAAGAGCAAATGAGACAGGGAATTGCACAGTGGAGTGAGGGGAAGGGGGAGTGAGGAAGAGAGAGAGAGAGAGAGAGGGGGGGGGGGGATCGAGGGAGGGAAAAAGAGAGAGAGAGGGGGCAGAAAGGGTACCTTTGTGGTGATATTGCTGCAGAGGGGGAGGGGGCAGAGAGGGGACATTTTGTTTTGTTTTATATCAAAGGCCAACCACACAACAACAAGACAATATATGCCCCCTCGATTCAGTTACGAGGCAATACATGTAGTGCCATGGTTATCAAATGTCGGTCTTGTGTCTTGGGGAAAGAGTAAATGAGACAGGGAATTGAACAGTAGAGAGAGGGGAAGGGGGAGCGAGGAAGAGAGAGAGAGGGGAGGGAGAGAGAGAGAGGGGGAATTGGGAGGGAGGGAGGCGGGGAGAGAGAGAGAACAAAAAAAAGGGGAGGGTAGGTATTGGGTACAGAGGAGGAGAGAAAATGAACCGCAGTTACATATTCAATACAAATGGATAGAGTTCTAGAACGGGTTAATTTAATTTGAGCATGAAATTATTTAGTCCTTTCCTTTCTCCTCTAAAGAAAAACAAGTTTTAGTGTTCATTTGTATTCAGGACACATTTCTCCCAGTAATTCAGAAAAAAGAAGATTCCCTTGAGATGGTGATAAAGATGGTCATATAATATCAAACCAATGGAATCAAGCCTCAATTGTATGGGGAAATAAAGCAAGTTGTTTTGACTGAAGTTCTCGCAAATTTCAATTTTATCTTGCTCTAAATTCTTTATTGCTAATTTCCTGCTATACACGGTAGCAGGAAATTCTGACAGAGGCAGACGTGTGTTTGTGGTGCTCCGTAAATTCCCATATTTTGTGCGTTTATAGTGCACTTTCTTTTGACTGTTATACATCTACGTCTTGGAAATTTTCCTGTGATTGTGGACATTTCACTCTTTTCGACGGTATGTGAACATTTTCCGAGATATATTCGTTTTTCGTCAATTTTAATCCAGTTTTTTAGCGAATTTATATTTCAAATTTGAACACTCTGCGTAGCATCAAAACAATTGTGCGCAAAAATATTGCGCCATACTAGTTAAGTTACGCAAAGGACCAGCAGATACCAACGCAGCAACGTAACCATGGAAACTTTACCAACAAATTTACGTGGACTCCGCGTGAAGCAACTACGTGCTGAGTTACAGAAAAGAGGTATGCATACAAACGGAGTAAAGGCGATCCTTCTTGAAAGACTAGAAAATGCAGTAGGCCTAGACGAAATAAGGAACACTAATGCCGCTGGTGATGTAGATGAAGATAAACATGAAAAGCCAGATGATGTCTTCAATGATGACGCAGACTGCCGACAACTACTGCATAATGTACTGAGTGAAATAAAAGGCTTGAATAGTAGGCTAGATACTATCGAGAAGAAGTTCAACAATCTATTCGAACAGCATACTTCTACTTCTACTTCTACGACGATACTCAGCAGGATCCATAAGTCAGGATGTAGTGCAAGGGAGAAGGAGAAGGAGAAGGAGAAGGAGACGGAGAAGGAGAAGGAGAAGGAGCAAGGGAATCTGAGGGCACAACAACAAGTATCTAGGCCTACCACCAAATATTTCCCGACAATTGCTACGCATAACCGGTTTGAAATACTATCCGAGATCACGGAATCAGACAACAGTGCCAAGAGTGTATCAATGCCAATTGAAGATCAACTTCGTGACTACAAGGCCAAGCACCTGAAGTTGTTCTCCAAAACCAACATCACCCATTCTGAAGTTATCTCTGATGACGCAACTGATGACAGCGACGCAACTGTTGACAACGACGCAACTGATGACAGCTCAGACCGATCTTTGTCAACACCTACTAGTACTACTTCTACTTCACCACCATACCATGAGCAGATAGAGGGATACCGCCACCGACATAGTGTGATCCGCAACAAACGAGATGTAGTTGTGGTCGGTGATT